CTGTGATCTATTAAATTACGCAGTTCTTAATATATCATTAATTTAATTAACACTATCGATTGATCAATCGCTATTTAGACTAATCTCAGTGAGCACTCACTATAAATAATCGATTGTTAGTCACCACTACAGTAAACCAGATCGGTAATGTGAGCCTCTTAAAGTCGAGAAGGATATAGGGATCGAGACCCACGTTGGGCGCCATTTACCTTTATCCCACTTAACCACCTTAATTGACGCGTGAAAGTGTCTGAATCGCAAAATACTGTACGTTAATTCCTGATTAAAATCCAACTGTGTGCGGTACAAGGGCCACGTACTTGTAGCCCGCGCCGGATACTGGGGCAGTAGGAGCTAGCACGTGACGCGCTACCACTGCGCTGCTATGTACAGAAATTATTGTTATGCTCCACGTACACGTGACGTTGGAATTTAAAATAATAAAAGACTGAGGACAGCTTCTTACGAAGGTTTCTATACTGTTGGTATGTGCAATTTGTACTATTTTTTTTTTATAAACTTTACTTAATACTGTAAATGTTAAAGTGAGTTTGTTTGTTTGTATAGACAGAAAGAATTAAATAAATAAATATTGGTAAATTTAGTATATTTCAAATTGTTTTTATTTATTTATTTATTTATTTAACTCTTTATTGCACCATAAATAAAAATATACAATGACAAGTGAATAATTCAAATGAAATACAGTAACATAAATACAGATTGAAATATACACATAAAGGTACAAAAGGCGGTCTTATCGCTAGGGCAATCTCTTACAGACAACCTTTAGTTAAGGGAGAACAGATAGAAAAGGGCAGGTGGCGCAAGAGTGAATCAACAATTTTCGTGCACAAAATACAAAAGCATGTAATGCACAAAAATATCAAATACATATAATTTATTACACTACTTACTATAACAATATATATACATACATACATACACATACACATACATATATATATACATACATAATCACATATAACATACATACAAAATACATAAACATACACATATAAATACATACATAGCACACACAAGGAAATATGACAAATCTAGTCCAAAAATTACAAAGGAGTGGAAAAGAGTAACTACAGTGAAAGAAAATGTGATTTGACTTGTCCTTTAAACGAAGCCAAGGATTGCGCACTCTGTATAGACGGTGGCAGCGAGTTCCATAGGCGCACTGCCTGAACGGAAAAGGATTTGGTGTAGTACACGGAGGTATGTGCTGGGGTTTTTAAACGGAGACTATTTGAGGTACGCGAAGCGTGACTCTGAACTTCACCGAGAAATATAAATCGCTCTTTAAGATAGTGAGGTGTAAGAGGATTGAATAGAATGGAATAAAGAAGAGATAATATATGCCAATCTCGGCGTCGACGTATTGGGAGCCACTTGAGCTGAGTGCGAAAATTAGAGATGTGGTCGTATTTACGAAGTCCAAATATAAATCTAATACACAGGTTTTGGAGACGCTCAAGTTTATTAAGTTGGTCTTCGGTGAGATCAATGTAGCAGGTATCAGCATAGTCAAGGACGGGAAGGACAAGGGAGTGAGCAAGCGCAACTCTAGTGGCCATAGGTAAAAAATTACGTAATCTACTGAGTGAGCCCACAATCGCAAAGACCCTCCTACTAATCTCTGTTATTTGGGTGCTCCAGGATAGCGTTCTGTCAAGATATATTCCGAGATCCTTTACAAAATCTTTATAGTCCACAGATATCCCGTCGAACATTATGTTAGGCAGATTTTCCCAGCAAATTCTTGAAATATAGTTGGGGCTCCCGATAATAATAGCCTGCGTTTTATTAGGGTTTACAGTTAATCCAAATGATTTACACCAGCTCGAAATGTGTGCCAGATCTTTGTTTATTGAATATATCGCAGAGTCTAACTCATGAAAAGGAGCGTGTGAGTAAATTTGAAGATCATCTGCATAAAGGTGGTAGGAAGAGCGAAGTTGAATAGTGATGGTGTTAATAAATAACGAAAAAAGTAAAGGAGATAAGACGCCACCCTGAGGTACACCAGCTAGCGTGCGACACCATTATGAAGAGCTATCTTCAGTACGAATGCGTTGCTGGCGCCCATTCAGGTAACTTTGAAACCACTCGATTACGGCTGGAGATATGTTGAGAGAACGCAATCTTCCTAATAATATATCAAAATCGACAGTATTAAAAGCATTACTTAGGTCTAACAATGTTAAAACCGTAAGCTGTGAGTTTTCCATACCATGACGGATATCGTCGGTGATTTTGACAAGAGCAGTAGTCGTACTATGACCGGCACGGAAACCTGATTGGAGGGGATTAAAAAGATCATTCTTGGATAGGAATTCATTTAGTTGTTGATGGACAAGTCGCTCGAGAGCTTTAGAAAGAAATGGAAGAATGGAAATTGGACGGAAGTCTGAAAAAGATGTTGGATTGGGTGTTTTAGGGAGAGGAAGTATATGTGCGTTTTTCCAGACAGAAGGGAAAACTCCCGAGGACAAGGAATTATTGAAAACCAATGTAATAATGGGAAGGACAATGTCAAGAATGGGAAGGATCATAGTACGACTTATGTCATCTGACCCCACAGCATTGGAAGTAATAGCTAGCAGGCTCTTCTCAACATCACAGTCCGCAACTGGAGTAAAGAAAAAAGGCGAATAGTCAGGGATTGGAATAGAAAAAAGGTAATTAATCGTGTTTGTTTTAGTGGTGTTATCAATAACAGCGGAAGAGCAGAAATGCCTATTAAGGCTGTTAATATCAATATTTTGGGAGCCATAACTTTGGTTCTTACCAATCCCCACCGACTTCAGAAATTTCCAAACTTTGGTTGGGTTGCCATTTTCGACAGATTTATGAAAGTGGCGTCGTTGAGCTTCTCTACACACCTTATTACAGTGATTTCTAACACGTATATACTGTTCACGATATTTTGTGGGATCAGATTTAAATTTAGACTTGGCTCTGTTCTTTTTCGCCTGAATGGTTTTAATTTCATCTGTCAACCAAGGTGCAGGTAGATGTCTAACACGCACTGGACGGACAGGCGCATGACGGTCGTAAACCTCAGTGATGAGATTATTAAATATTACGATCTGATCATCAACAGTATTGGCACTATGAACTAATGCCCAGTCCAGATCCAGTACTTCCCTTCGCAGAAGATCAATATCTATGGCTCCGAAGTTACGCTGCATAAGGATTTTGTGTTTATGTTTTGGGGGACGGGTTTTGAAAGAAAGAAAAATGAGATCGTGACAAGAGAATGCATCAGCAGTACATTGGCCATGCTTTGCGACGAGAAGAGGAGAGGAAACTATGATAAGATCAAGTAAAGAAGGTAAGTAATTAGGGAAAAAATGGGTAGCTTGAAGCGGTAAAATATCGAGATTGCAGGCGTCAACTACTTTCATGAGGCAATTTGATCGATAGTCATTTTTAAGGAGACAAGTATTGAAGTCTCCCATAATAATTGTGTGTTCATAAGAGGGAATTATGTTTTCTAGAAGATTTTCTAAAGGAAAAAAATAATTAATAGTGGAAGACGGACTATAAAAAACTCCTAGTAAAACTTTGGAGTGAGAGAGGGAGACTTCAATAAAAAGATATTCGGCTTCCTTTGAAGGATCAAGACTATTTGAAGAGCAAACTATATTATAGGGAATATGGGAACGAAGATAAATAGCAACACCACCACCACCCTTGCCAGTACGATCGTTGCGAATTAAATTAAACCCTGGTAAAGAGTATGAAGGGGAAGGGAGACATGGCTTCAACCATGTCTCGGAGACAAGAATAGCGTGGATATTTTTTACATTGAAAGACGTTAACATGTCAGGATAATGTGCTGGTATGCTCTGCGCGTTAATATGTAAGACATTGAAATTGTTAGGAACGTCCAAGAATTTAGTTTGTAAGATTTCATCTAAAGATGTAGAAACACTGTGATAACTATCATCTGTAGCTGAGAAGATTGTATGGTAACTTTCGTCAAGTTCATCATTCATATTTGTGTGCAACAAAAATAATAATATAAATTATAATAAAAAAAAAATAATAAATCAACAAAAGAAAATAGAAACCTAAAAAAAAAAAAACAGAAAAAAAATGCAAATGCTACAAGGTTGCTATATCTACCCATCAGTGGAAAGTTATGTAGATACAATATAAAAGTTGAATTAAAATTACGCACATTATTTAGAGTAAAAAATAATAAGTGAAAATGAATGTAACACAATAAATATCTCAGTCACCCTATTTCATGTACATTATAATCATAGATTAAGAACAGTGCTTGTGGTCCTAGCCTTATACTTTTGACTGTTGACAGCTAGTATGATATTGACAGATACATAATATATTAATTGAAAGGTGTAGGTAGAAAAAAAAAATTCTAACTCTAACTTAGTCTCTCTAATATGGAGGTATAGGTGTTCTTTGCTTCAATCTGTCAGCGGAATAATAGTCAATGTTTACTTTAATATACATTAATCAACGATACCTTCCTCAGTGAAAAAAACTATACATATAACAAAAAAAAAAGAAATAGCGTAACGGACGGGCATTATTAACATTTAGTGATAAGCGTTTTAAGGTACATAAAACAATAATAATATTTTCTTTATTTACGGATTACTAAGATCCATTTTTGTTAGTAACAATTGACTTAAACTAAGTTAGTAGAGAAAAAAATACAAAATTCATTTTATAGCCCCTATAATAATTTTGACCCACAATGAGAGGATCGGGCTATCGTATTTATTACATAATGCCCTCAGAATGCCGTTACTGCTGCCACGCAATCGGTATAAAAGAGATGCAATCCGTTTGCGTCTGATGGCATAGAAGTCATCTGTCCATGCCGCTGCAAACATTGTGGATGCACTACAAAAACGTGGCAGCCGTAACAACACCCTGAAAACATTATTGTATTGAACACGCAGAGCGCTGTATGCCCGCTGTGTATAGTCAACCCACAGGCTGCTTGTGTAAAAAGATTGGCAATATGCCTTGAACAATATTATTTTGACTTCAGTCGAGCAACGAGCAAACCTGCGAGCCAACATATTACCCCTTACAGCCAGCGCCCTGCGTTCACGTTCAATGTCAGCGTTATCTTTCAAGTCATCGGTAATAATATGTCCTAGATATTTAAACTGAGTCACTCTATTGAGAGGAACACCGTTTAGAAGAATTGGCGGGATTTGTGGATTCTTACTACCTAGACCGAAATACATAAATTCACTTTTTTGTGTATTATATTTCAGACCATGTTTTTCAGCATACTTTTCACACACGCTTAGCAATTTACGTATAGCTCTGATTGATGGACTCAGCAGCACCATGTCGTCAGCGTAACTCAAGTTATTCACAGCAATCCCGTCTATGTAACAGCCCGCATGCATACTGCTGAGCTCAGCGATCAGGCTATTCATATATATATTAAAAAGTGTAGGCGAGGATATACCGCCCTGTCTCACCCCACACTCCAATCCATACTCTTCAGATATTTTATCCGCCCATTTAACAACGTTAATTTGATTATCATACCAATACTTAAAAATACCAATCAGTTCAGTAGGAATATTCAGCTTTTGAAGTTTGTTCCACAGGATCTCATAAGACACCAGGTCGAAGGCTTAAAATAATCATGTAATAAAATAATCATGATAGTACATTTAAGTCATGTTTAGCAACAATAACAATAAGATTATTTTAGGTACACTATCCCGTCATTTCTTCTTGTCCCGTTTTAGGCGAGACGAAGCAGCAGCAGTGACCTTGGCGGGGTCTGTCTTTCCTAAAGCCTTTGTGGTACCTGAATCTACTGGTACTGCAGCAGAAACCTGGATGAGTTTTTGAACTTCGTCGACAGTACTGACTCGGTGTTTTAAACCATCTGATGTAATTACAATCACATAGCCGTCCCGAGTCCAACATCTCTTCACTCCGAACTGTTGACGAGCAGCCATGAATGCATCATGTCTAGACTTGGTCAGGAATTCTGACATAGTGACGCCGCTATCCTTCAATGCTGTCTTAGCAAACCATATTTTATTACGAGTAGCTGCATTTCGGAATTTTACTAAAATAGGCTTTGGTTTGTCAGCGCTTGATCGTCCCAGACGATGACTTCTACTGATGTCATTTGCAGAGAAGTCAGGAAGTTTAAAGTGCTCAGTTACAATTCTGACTACTTCCGAAGCAGAGTCATCGCCCCCACGCTCTTGAACCCCATGGAACAGCAAGATTTTGCGTCGACTGCGCATTTCAAGTTGTTCCATTTGACGTGCAAGTATTTGTACCTGATGTTGTAGGTTGTTCATCACCTCAGCTGCAAATGACCGAAAGGCGGTGAAGTCTGCCGCCAATGAGGAGATTGTGGCTGGTGTAGTACTTATCCTTTGGAGATCCTCTTGGAATGTTACCATCTTTGCGTTAAGAAGCTCCATCATTGTGTTCATTGATTGTTGTAGTGCGTCCATTATTAGATTATAGGAGTGAAAGAAAGGAAATAATATCACTGCAGGTAGATATTAGCTAGACTATTAATATACACATAAATATATAACCACTTATACAATATATATAATTTAAAATAACACTTATATTTGGAGACAAAAATTTTAGCTGTTACTTCTTACACATCTACCCGCAAAAAAACTGTTTTTAAGGTATAATTATGATAAAATCTTATATAACTGAAAATAAAATTATAATTGTTATGTAGAATTTTTTTTTTTTTAATGAATGATAATCAAATGGTAAGCCCGTCTACGCTATCGGTATACGCTGACGGGGCACCAGTGAGGAATTATAAATGAGGATGAAAGCAGTCAGGTCATCGGGATGAATACACCTGGAATTCAGCACGATGGTTTCCAGGGGGACCACGTGAAGGTCGACCTGACAGGGGACTGATAGTACGCATTACTAACAATCCCTTCCCCTCTGTAGTATGTAGTATGTGATTAATGTAATGAAGGGTGGGATATAGCGTGAAGGGTGGGATATAGCGTGAATTTATAGGGTACAGAGGAATAACACCTGAGTACTCAGGAATGGCAACGCATGGGGGGTATCATGGGCGAAAAAGTATACTCTATTATGTCGATGGTACTGCTCATGTCCATAGGCGATGGTTACCACTTTCCATTAGATGAGCCGTCAGCTTGTTTGCCATTCTAAGTTGTATAAAAAAAAAAATTTGGCTATGACGTGTTTGGTTATGAGTCATCATTGAAAAAGCTGAGTTTCTTGGCCGTTATTATTGGCCGAAATTGCGTTCCAAATGACTACTTAAAAATGCTTAAATCTAAATACACAGAATACTTTTTATGTATAAATTACTTATAATATATATTTAATAAGGGAAACATTAAAATGCTATGCGCATGTTTCTTAAGTCGATCTGTGAAGTAAATAATTTTATTGCATCGTAAGTAGAGTGAAGGTAGTTGTAGGGGGCATCCATTAGCCGGAGCCCGGATATTGAAGCCACGAGTGGACGTGGCTACGTGACCGTTGAACTGAAGCCGTGTTGAAACTTTAATGGTATATTTTTTTATCTGGCTCGTAGTGTAGATACGAAGGGATTTGGCCGCAGTTTTTCAACTCGCTTCAAAAAGAATTAAGTTCCCAATACGTTTGTATTTTTTCTTATGTTTATTACCTTTAAACTACCGTAAGACTCCATCAATTGTAAACCAATTTGGAAAATTCCTTTTTTTTATATTTAAAAGCATATACTTACAGATTGGTCCCATAAAAATGTTCAGTAATTAAATTTTTAATCCAAAATGTTTTGGCAAAATTGAAGTAGTTTTTTTTTTTATGGAACACAATATTCGTTATTACAATTTATTTTTAGTTAGACTAGTTGTTTATATAAATAGATAGATAGATAGATACTCTTTATTGTTTCCTCTAAAAGATTACAGTAGTAAACTTATTATAAATATGAACAATTACAAGAAATAATCACAATGAGAAAACAATGGGCGATCTTATCGCTAAGAGCGATCTCTTCCAGGCAACCTTTGGATGGAGAGGAGTAATTATAAACAATTTGGTGGGAGGCACGATGAAAAATTTTGTTAGTTCTAAATATGGGAGATATGATACATATAATAATATAAATATTGTTTTTTAGTTAGTTAGTTGACTAGAAATATTTTGTTTCAATTCACCTCTAAACGAGGCATCATCAGACATAGAAGAATAGAATGTATGTATCTACTGAATAACAGTCAAATATTGATAACTAAGTAATAGAGAAAGTCATAGACCCTATGCTAATGATGGGTAATCATCAAATGTTAGCAATCATACGCATACAAAAATCTTAATTAAATAACTAGATGCATTCTTCGTGTGGTCCCGGCATAGAATAGGCCACCGCTTCCTTTCTCGTGGGTGTCGTAAGAAACGACTAAGGGAGGGCGATGGATGGGCAGCAGCGTACCTCTTAAAACATTTTCAAAGCCTAACTGCAGTTGACAGGGGGGAAAGAGATTGTTAGTAATGGAGACTGAGAATCCTATTGCTAGCAATATACCCAACCAGGTCAACCTCCTCGCGGTTCTCCCTGGAAACTATCATGGTTAATTCCTGATGAATTCATCATGATGGGCTAACTGGCTTGTTTTCATTCTCATCTATCACCCTTCACTGGTGCTCCGCCAGCGTATCCAGTTAGCGCAGGCGAGGTTACTAAACCATTTTCACCCATCAAAAAACTGCGGTTGACAATCTACCTGCCAAGCGTGGCAACTACTGGCAAAACCCCCCAAAGGGGAGGCTTACGTTCAGCAGTGGACAGTTAAAGGCTATAGTTATGATAATGTTAATATAAATTACCGCAAAGTTAAAAAAATCCTAGTTCAGTATTTTTTTTATTAATTTATGAAAAAAAAAAACTAATTTCAACGATATGTTATTATACCGATGTTTCTTTACATATTCGACTTTTATTTTTTCATTAATGAAAATGGAATAGTATGCTCGCCTACGCTAGTGCTTTTTATGTACCAGTAAAAGATAACAGGTCAAGATGAAGACAATCCATCGTAATAAATTCATCAGAAATTCTTTTACAATGGTTTATAGGAGAAGCATATGGGAGACTACCTAATTAATGACGAGTTTGAATCTGATGGACAATATTGCCATTATAAAAGTCTATTTTTACTATGCCAATACTTTTTGTCAATTTTAATTCCCCATCTACACACTACTGATATTTTTTTTTATGAAACTTATAATGGCAAACAACCTGACAGCCTACCTGATGGAAAGTGGTAACCGTCGCCTATAGACATGAGCAGTACCATGGATATAACAGAGTATACTGTTTCGCCCATGATATCCCCGTGCGTTGCCATTCCTAAGGACTCAGGTGTTAGTCCTCTGTACCCTATAAATTCACTGCCATACCCTACCCTGCCAAACCGAAACACAGCCATGCAAACACAACTGCTTCACGGTTGAAACACGAATGGGACAGAGGTGCTCAAGCAAACGACTTTTGTACAAAGTCTCCCTCTTTTAAATAATGACAATAAACGCCGTTGACAAATTTATTTATAATTCTTTAAATTAATTTGAAATTGGAACAAGATGTTTATAAAATTGGTGCTACAAGACATAACGCAAAGACTGTATAAACATCGTACCTTTGCCTTTGTAGTTATAAAAAAGTAGTGTACACCACGCTACATGATGCACTCAACAGATTGAATCCCGTCCATTGTCTCGGCTCGCCACTGCTAGTGCAACTTTGATGGTTCTCCATACAATTAACTTCAGGGTTACCATCTTAGGGGATTTACCATAAAATTAGGAAAATTATTAAATTAATTTCTTATATAATTTTTTAAATATGATATTTGGAACGTTAATTTCAAAACTGTTATTCGAAATTCAAATTCATGCAATTCATAAAATTTCATAATTTTAGTTCGGAATCGATTGGCTAAGATTTCATAGTTTTTTTTTTACATATATTGTGCACAATACAGTTTTTTTTTTTATACTTGAATACTTTTATTAATTACAGTAATTATTTTAGCTTAACTGCTAGTTAAATAGCTATTCCCACAGCTTACGTATACTAGACTAGAAGACTTCAGTTTAAACCTCAAAACGTTTTCAATCGCGTCACAAATATCCTAAGACATACTGTATTACTCGCAATACACCCGTGAACTGCGCTCATAAATAAGGGCTCTTATCGAATTGGAAACTGGTCGGGCATTCCCGAATTTAAAACATAAGTAAAGCTGTATTTGGGCGAGTTTTTTTTTTAAGCAAATAAATGGCAAACGAACTGACGATCTGCCTGATGAAAGTAGCGACGCCTATAAACACTTAAAGAACTTCACTTAATATACTATAATAATACATCTAACGCATTGATATCCCCAAGAACTGAGATGTTATGTCTCCATATCCTCTAATTTAGAGGGAGACTTTGTACAAAAGTCGTTTGCTTTAGTACCTATGTCCCATTCATATTTCAACCGTAAAGCAGTTGTGGAATATGGCAGTGATTTTTTTTTTATGCAACTTAAAGTACAATCGTACAAATACAGTTACACCACGACAGAGACATAAGTGCGACAGAGGCATCCAAGCAGACTTTTGTACAAAGTATCCCTGTGCTTACGATTATAGAATGAATATTGACGGATTTTCAGAATATCCGACATTTCGATGTGTTTTTAAGGGTAAATATTTTTAAAACGTTGGCAACCCTGATTGTGTTGAGTTGTTGGTCTGTCAGTTAGTGACGTGGCGTGTAGTTTGCGTAATTGGTGTGCGTCTTGATAGTTAATTACAATATTAATATATTCAGTAACTTGAACATAAATCTTGTTAAGGAGACTGGAAATGCTACTAACGTTATTATAAATGTGATAGTTTGCAAACAAGTTTCTATTTTTTGGATATTTGTTAATCAATCACTCTTAAATAGCTGAACGATTCAAATTTTTTTTTATTCATCTTAGAATAGCAAACAAGCTGACAGCCCACCTGATGAAAAGTGGTAACCGTCACCTATAGACATGAGCAGTACCATGGACATAACAGAGTATACTGTTTCGTCCATGATAGCCCTCATGCGTTGCCATTCCTGAGGATTCAGATGTTATTTTTCTGTACCCAGTAAATTCACGCTATATCCCACCCTTTAAACCGAAACACAGCCATGCAAACACAACTGCTTCACGGTTGAAACACGAATGGGACAGAGATACCCAAGCAATCGACTTTTGCACAAAGTCTCCCTCTGGTAAAATCTAAATAAAAGTTAGTATTAGCTACGTATTAATATTTATTCAGATTCGATATAGGTTTATATTATAACTTAACACACAGGCTGATGCAATAGAAAGAGAACACAAAATTCAAAAAGAATCATCGAAATCAATTTAGATTTGACGAAGATATAGATTGATATTTTCCTTATTTTTTAAGGTTGGTTAAAAGTAATAATTTTCTGTCTATTCCATATATATTATTTGGATTTTGAGTCATGTTTTATTAAAATTCTTTGAGGTTAAGTATACATCATCCTGTTTTAATGAAATATCTCCGGATTCGTTCAAATAGATGGAATATATTAAACGAGTCTCATTAATAACAATTTATAAATAAGCCACTTAGATATAACCGGTGCTAATTTTAACCTTATTGTAATTAAAATTAGTCTCATTTTTACTCATTAATGAGGGGAATATATTTATGATATATTTCACAAGTTTTTTTTTATACAACTTAGAATGGCAAACAAGTTGACGGCCCACCTGATGGAAAGTGGTAACGATCGCCTATAGACATGAGCAGTACCATGGACATAACAGAGTATACTGTTTCACCCATGATACCCCCCATGCGTTGCCATTCCTGAGGACTCAGGTGTTATTCCTCTGTACCCTGTAAACTCACGCCATATCCCACCCTTCAAACCGAAACACAGCCATGCAAACACAACTGC